AGGCCCACCTCTGGCTGGCGACCCTCCTGGACACTCAGAAGGCAGGGCGGCGGGGTGGCTGTGGTGGGGGTGGGGGGTGGGGCTCAGCCCGTGCTTGCGAAGGGGGAGGGCCCTCCTGTCCCCTGGCAGAGACCCCAGCCCCTGCTCAGGGCCGGGGGCGGGGGTGGTGTGCAGATGCCTGCTGAATGATCCCAGCCCTGGCGCCTGCCCCCAGAGGCTGGAAGGGTCCTGGAGAGGGCCTCCCAGTCTGCTCCCACCAGCCCCTCTTCCAGCCTGGGGTCCAACCCATCGATGGTGTGACCAGCACAGACCCTATCTCAGCCCACACATTCCAAACAGCTGGGCCACTGCAGAGTAAACTCTCTCGTGGTCTCTGGTGTAGAAAGCAGCTGGGCGAGGTTGCTGAGGGGGGACAGGGAAGGGAACCCAGAAGGGACACCACCTGGAAACCCACTGAGGGAGGATCAAGTTTGGAGTTGGGGCATTGAGGCCCAGAGAGGGAGACTGACTTGTGCAGGGCAGCCCAGCGCTTTGTGCCAGAGACCAGACTCACTCAAGTCTCGTGAGCCCAGTCTTCTGCCTGGTCCATGCCCTCCCTCCATGACTCAGTGGGGGCTGAGTCTCCTTCTGAAGACAAGCTCCTCAACCAGCGCCTGGCCCGTGGCAGGCTTCCACTGAACATTTGTCAAATAAACCAGTGAATCTTGACTCAGCCAAGGACCCGATGTCTCAGAGGGAATGCCCCCAGCCCATAGTCTATGGAGGAGCAAAGGAGGGGCAGAGGCTGGACTTGCCTGCTGGTGCCCTCCCTCCCTGCAGGGTCTGGTCCCACTGTCCTCCCAGGAGGGTCCACACTGTGGGGAGCAGTGCTGGGTGATGAGGGCCACTTACCTGACAGGCCTGCGGTCAGGGCACCCCTTTCTCTGGCCTGAACTGCCCTGGCTGAGGCTGCAGTGGCCGCTCTGTGTGAGGCAGCTGATGGTGGCCCCAGCTTGAGTTGGGAGGAAGGAAATGGCAAAAATAGCCTGGTTTATCCCTGCATGCAGCCCCGAGGGCCTATCTCCTTGGGGTCCTGGGACCTCGCACACAGAACCGCAGGTCAACCCCCACTTACAGAGAGGTCCCGCACTGCACCTGCTGTACCACCAGTCCTTCCAGGAGCCCCAGTACAGGGTGTGCGGGAGAACCAGGTCCCAGGAGGTGGGGAAGGCTTCCAGGAGGAGGAGGCCCCTGAGGTCAACAGCTCTGCTGGTTGTTCCTCCAAATGTCAGTTTTCCTCATCTGTAAAATGGGAGCAGTAACCCCTCACAGAGGTGAGGGTGGGGCGGCTGCCACGGGCTGAGAACCCCAAGTGGGGAGAGGGACTTGGTTTGTAATTCTTGGTCCTTCTGAAGATGGAGAAAGTCTCCTCTGGGTGCCGTTGCATCTGTAGCGCCTTTGAACACTTGCTGGTCCTTCTTTTTAACTGAGAGCTGCATTAGCCTCCAGCTAGAAGTCAAGACCACTGTCTTATGGGCATCATGTTTATTTCTAAAGTGATATTCTACTCAGGGTGGTGACACCAGCTTTCCATCTCTGTTGGTGGTCTGAAGTTCTCCTTAAAAGAAAAATATATCTTTAATTGGATTTTTAACATTGTAAAACAGGAGTTAAAATCAAGCCCAGTAATAAAGTGTTGTGGACAATTATAAAAATTAAAATGTGAACTGTGCAGTTTATCACAAGTTATAGAAGTGTCACTATTATGAAATGTCAACTTAGTCAATAAGGGATTTGGAGAGATGACAAAATTTGCAGCCGTGGAGGGCTGGGGGGCACTGAGGTGTGGGGACCCCTGAGGTATGGCAGTGCTTTGGGAACAAGTAGCAAGGTTCTAGCAACCTCCGCAAACAGAGGCTTGGCCAGAGGGGCCCGGGGGCAGGGCCCAGAGTGGGGGCTGCTGAGGAGGGGGCGAGCCCCTAACCATCCCCGTGGTTGAGGCCAGTGTCAGCCAAGGATGTCAGCCTGAGAAGAGGGTCTGGGGCCCCCATCTGGAATGCTCTGAATCCTCTAAAACTCAGAGGGTTAGAGCTGGAGAGGGAAACTCAGGCCTGGAGTAGCCAGGATGCCAGCTGACGGGACACTGGGCCTTGGAGCGGGGCCAGGTCACCTCACCCCACAGGAGGGAGGGAGCCTGCAACCCTCCAGCTGACTCTTGTTCTTAAACCAGGGTTGCAGCACCAGGGGTCACAGTGGCCAAGTCAAGGGCGGGGCTGAGGGTGCTTCCCCCCACCCCACTGGACCCTCACGGTCAGGACAGGGAGTGGGTGTCTGCTGTGTTTTGTCGCAGTGTCCTGTGGCACCCAGCCCTCTGCTGTGGGGGAGCTGACCTCCAGCATTTGTGTGCTTATCACCTGCTTCTCCCCACAGACATCAGCCCCTGAGAGGTGGTGGCCAGGCCACCGCGCTGGGTCGGTGTGGGCACCTCCAGCCATCGGGGAGCTGTGCGTGCTCTGACTGTGAAGGAGGAGGTGGGGGTTCCATCAGCAGGAGGGACCGTCCTCGTCCCATCCCGCGGGCCCTTACTGCACGGAGCAGCGCAGCGCTGTCAGCGACCCTCTGCTCCCAGGACACCTGGGGTTCCTTTCTAAGAAAGCACTCAGAGTTGCGCATTGCAGCGCTGCTAATGGTCGCCAAAAACGGGAAACCAAGGCAGACCCACTGGCCCAGCACACGGCACAATATCACACGGACGTCGTGGAAAATGAAGGCAAGCTGTAAGAGCTGTGTTGAAGGAATTTCCACTGAGTATTGCTGAGTGGCACGAATCAAATGCACCAGAATGTAAGATTATACCCTATTTTGGTCAAATTGTGACCAACTGCCCTTGCCCAGGGTTACTGAAGAGTGTGGGTTTTTTATCTCCTATCTCAGGGCATCCCTTCCAGACTGGCCTGGCCCTCCCCTGAGGTGGCCTTCCTGGGGGGCCACATCTCCCCTACAGCCCGCACCGAAGGGGCCCAGTCTGCACTCAGGGTAGGAGCAGGGTGGTCACCCTCCTTCTTCTCCCATGGAGGCTGCCAGCTTCCCGCTGCTCAGCCCAGACCAGGTGGGTAGGTGTGCTTCTGCCCCCTGCTGTCACCCCTGCCCTGGAGGCTGCCTGCCTGTGGGGCCACCAGGTAGGTACTCAGCGAGGGCTTTCTCCTGAGCCTGGGCCCCAGACAGGAAGTCGGCCTCCTGCACCCTCCCTCCCTGCCTTGTGCACCCCGCCTTGCCCACCTCCCCCTGCATGCAGGCCTTTTCAGCAGGTGGGGAAGGGGCCCCAGTGAGTGGGGGTCCCACTGCCCCCGGGCTGTTTCCTGACCTGACCTCACCTGGTCAGCCCCACATACTCTCTTACTCTTGGGCCTCTGAGGTTTCCCATTTATTTTCAGCAGGTACAGCATAAACCAACAGAAGACACAAATAAGAAATCTCATTGTGGAAAAGCTGGGCTACATGGATGAGCAGGAAGAAGGTGATAAAAGCTCCCCTCAACCCCAGTATCCGGCAAGACTACCTTTTGTTCTTTCCTGCCTATATTGTTTTCTGACCCAAACAGGGCCACGCGGGGCCCATGCCCTTCTGGAACCTCCTTTCCCACCTGTTGGTACACCGGCAGGTCATCAGCATCCACGTGGCTCCACAGTGGATGCTTATCGTTTATTCAAGAGCCCTCCCTCGCTCCTTACCTCCCTGACAGGCCTTTGTGGGATGTGCTGGGGGCGGGGAGGCAGCCGTCTGGGCTTCCTGGGGGGCTCCTCCTTCCACAGCCTGAGTTGGCTGACCACACAGTTTTCCCTGTGGGGAGATGCAGGTGTTCCCGCTCTGGCCCCATCAGGTTTCTTATCAGGTCACCCTACTACCTGCCTACGGAAGCCCTCTCTCTGGCTCATTG